TCTACACATGTGATGACAGCAGTACACTAGCACCATATAAATCTACACAGGTGTGAAGGAAAGTACACTAGCACCTTATAGTTCTACACATGTGATGACAGCAGTACACTAGCACCATATAAATCTACACAGGTGTGAAGGAAAGTACACTAGCACCTTATAGTTCTACACATGTGATGACAGCAGTACACTAGCACCATATAAATCTACACAGGTGTGAAGGAAAGTACACTAGCACCATATAGATCTACACAGGTGTGAACGACAGTACACTAGCACCATATAGATCTACACAGGTATGAACGACAGTACACTAGCACAATATAGATCTACACAGGTGTGAAGGAAAGTACACTAGCACTATATAGATCTACACAGGTGTTAACGACAGTACACTAGCACCATATAGATCTACACAGGTGTGAAGGACATTACTCTAGTACCATATAGATCTACACAGGTGTGAACGACAGTACACTAGCACCATATGTGAAATGAACATCACCTGGACGTCCTAGCACCATACATAACATCCACAACACCTGTGCATGTTTAGATGACTATACTTTAACATCACCTTAATGACGTATCCAAGAAATCAGGAAATCTGAGGTGTGCACGCCGTTAGCCTGATTTCTTGTGTGTGAACTTGTAGTTTTTGTCGCTTTCCGTAATTATCGTTGATGCAGGCGTGTCAAATGATGGCCAATAAAGCTATGTATGCAGGTCCTGCCATCATCATTAGACAAGCGTGGCTACACTGCAGTGGACGTGGCATCGTAACTTGTGTTAACCATGCCTTTTATTCTGCACTTTCTCATCACTAGGGCTAAGCATGTTCTGTACCTGAACAGCTATTACAGTAGCCCAGAATTCCTGATAACTCAACTTTGTTTGGCATCGTGCTATAATTTGTATCATTAATTCTCTATCTATCCATTGTTAAATGCATTATGACAGAATGTAGTATACTTAATTCAGGAAAACTTTGGGGAATAGTAGGTATTGGTGACCCACTTGCTTTGTTTAGACAGGTCTGGACATTGAAATAACAGGTAAACTTGATGCTGAATTTGCCTGTAGATTTGTCTCCCAATGACATATCCAATATCACAACCAGTGCTTTTTTTGAAAAGCTAAATTACTCCTTAGTTAGCTAAATAGAAACATTTCAAAATGACAATAAAATAAATAAAAGAATATATCCGAATGTTTTCTCCATACTGGAACACATTAGTCGAGTAATTTATTGGATCCTTCTAAATTATTAACAAATTAAACCTACACACATAAAAACAACAATGCCATACCCGATCAGTGAACTGTGAAAAATGTGTTTGGCTTGACTAAATAATGTGTTATTTGCCAACTACAATTTCAGATCCCATATACGACTATTTTATTGTGGCTATAACATTACTATCAAATCAAAAAGTCAGTTACACACTACAGGAAAATGTCGTTTTCATTTTGGGACGTTCAATGTACCTGGATGGCGAGAACTATAGCACAAGGGATTGCCATTTAGCTTGCTAAAATGACTGCGGTGGGGTGTGTATTAATGTTATTTCGGGGAGGTACCCGCCACCGAAATTGTTTCCGAAGTTAAATGGAAAGTGTAAACATTGAATTTCACCTTTCATCCAGCTGATCAATAATATAATGATCCAGTTTTATATTACAGTTTTAAACTACCATCATAATAATTATGGGCCATCAATGCCGAGAGGAAGTCATGCGCGACCTACATCCATAAAACCGTCCCTACACCTGCCTGTACAGTCCCTGTAGTAATTACTAGGTGTTACTCCCTCGATTTGGGGCGATTTGAAACCATTGCCAATTCTATTATCTACCCTCTAGGAAAATAATAACACAGCTATTCTGTGCGATGTTATCTACCGAGAATAGCTAAGCTAAAGTGCAGTCTTTTCCATGCCGCTCCCATCAATGGGCAACCAAATGCTTCAAATCAATCCAGAATTACCGGGAGTGTAAAATTAAATTACGTTTTGAAAAGACAATCAGTTTTTCCACTCGGAATTTATGTTTTGATATGTAATAAACATTACAAAGTTATTGACAGATGATTGTTAAAATGCAGAAACAGGAATAACAAACTAACCATGGAAATGAAATTCTGCGTTTAAAAAATTACTGAAATGCTAATTCAAGGTAGTCACATTCTCTAAAGGATGTATACATTAGGGGGTGGGGTTAGGGGGGAGATGGATATCTACAAATTGAACTTTTATCTTGTGACAATCTCTGGCCCCACAGATCTAAATAGAAACACCTGTTGTAAAGGGGATGGCTGTACACACAGGAGACTTCTAGGGGCTGGGAGTGTTCCCTCTCTGGCCAAAAGGCCATACCCCCTACCCCTTAACCATGGTTGCCAGCATGGGCTAGCCTAGCCGATGGAGAGATGGTTATCTTTCACTTTTGAAAGTACTTTGACCCCAGTGAATGTCACAGTAAAGCTGTTGAGCTAGCAAACCCTTATCCAGGAATACATGGTCCCCAGGTGTGACCCCTAACCCCCTAGTTACTCCTGACCTTGAGCCACTAATCCACCTCATGACCCCCCCAAAAATATTCAACAGATTGTTTTTCTTTGTAATAATGATTTTTGTGGCAATGTCCAGATATCTTAGATATAATTGAAGTATACAGATATGGATTGTAAGATAAAATCTTAATGTGATGCATGGATGGAGGTTATGACCCCTACAGACCTATATGGACACAGACAAACTAAGCTGTGTGGATACGTGTAGAACATAGGTGGGTTACATGTGGATCTAGGACTGTTAGGGGCACTAACCAGACTCATCACTATAGCTAGTGTTATAACCAGCTATTTAATTAACTGATACAATATAACAATCATTGAGAGGAGGCCCCACTGTGGTCAGACATTACCTGGCCAGATCCAACAGGTAAAGCTTGCAACACACATTGAGCAAATAGGGGATTTCCCCGGGGAAGGAAGTGATATCCCCAGGGTAGGGAATAGTCATAATCCGTTTAACATACTAATCTGACCATCAACACATCAGGTCCCCGAGGGAGAAGGAAGGTGGTGTCCCCAGGGTGGGGAATAGTCATAATCCAAATATAGTACCAATCCTCTTACCATACTGTATATAGATTTGTTTACATTCTTGATACAGTAGAGCGATTGTATTTGTGAAATGAACTAATACACATCTAAAGAGAAATATTTGTGGGATAGTCAAAATTGTTATGGACTCCATTCACCAACATGCTATTTATAGTATTTACATTCAAGGAATTTATGATTTAGAAAAAACATTGTTGGGATGTCGACATACTGTCCGACTGATATAAATACAATTACAAAGATTCAAAATAATAATACATAATCCCTATGAAACCATCCAGAGCCTGGTTGACCTTCCTGGCAACAGAACATCGGACATAAACATGAACACTGTGCAGTAGAAAACACCACACAAGGTAGCAGCTAGTAGCTAAAATAGAAACAGACCCCAAGTATATCCAAATAACCATCTCCCTCAATAGCCCCGAGGGGTAAACAAAAAACACGGTATCAAATCAAAAAATCAACATCAAAAAAATATTACTCCCTAGTATATCATACCATCCATATCGACTATTTCCCCTCCGAAAATGTATTTTCACATCATTTTTTATTGTTTCCGAGATATTTTACATGAAATGAAATAATAGAGAGAAATAAATGGAGATTATTTTAACAACTGACCAACTTTTAATATAAAATGAAATCTTCAGGAGAAATAAATGGATTTTTCTTCTTTTTTTTTCTCTCTCTCTCTCTCTCTCTCTTGCCCAAATGACCAACTTTTTGAGCATATTCAATTTGTACCCTAATCGAAAAAAATTCTGGGCAGCTTTCATCCTTGACCAAGTTCTACAGACTTTGGTCAGCTGTTACTGACCAGTGCTGACCACTGGGCTGGATGGTCCAGTCTGCCTCATCTGACCATCAGATATTAATACTCCCCATGGTCATTATAGAAGTAAATGGAAAATCCAGCCGCTAGTAAAGCAAGGATAAGATCAGCTAGTGAATATCCCTGCCTGACCACTGGTCAGATCTACCCTAACAAAAGGCTTTCTGGCCAGACACCACAGCCCTTCAGCAGCCGTAAAGCTAAATATTTGTCACACATATTCCATCAATACAGTATTTTTATTTGTTTAAGAGTGTTTATTCCCACATTGATTCCAATATTATTCGTCACATTTCCTATCACACAAAAACATGGTTTGGTTGAAAGTGACAACCCCTCTCCCTTTATTTGTTTTTGTTGCTATATTTAGCACGATATATATATATATTTCTTGGACATAATTCCAGCTGTATTCTCTTGATATTACATACAGTTTAGTCTCTTCACCTGCTTAATATTCTGAAAAAAAATTGTGCTGATTGAAATCTCGAGACATACTGAAATTTAATTCCTTTAGGATTGTGTTCCGTGATTGAAACAGGAACTTTATTGACCCAAGTACTGGAATAGGAAAACATTTTAAAGACCTTGATATTCGACAACTACTGAATATTCAATTAATGTAATCTTGTACTCTTGGTTTGAAGGTTATGAATAAAATATTCCTGCCACATCAAATTTGATTTAAATTAACTTTTGAAGGTCCCGGTAAAACTGAAAGAACCAGTAATTGACTACGTACTATAAACCTGTCATTTTCCTGTCAACAATAGAAACAAAATAATACTTTTCCAACTCTAAACCCAGTGTCTTTATGGTTTTAAAAAAAGTGTATAAAATTAAATAGTTGAAAATAATTTTATTTCATTCAAAGAGACAATGTTTTTAATAATTAAAAAAAGTGTTTGCTGTAATCAAATTAATGAGCTGTTCGAATGACAAGTGTGTTTAAACGGCGTAGAATTAATATTGTTTTTGTTGGCAGAGCCGGCTCCCCATGTCACCGATGATCTAGATCTTCCCTCACTCGACAAGCGTGACACACAAAACGTTTTTCACAATTTATGAACCTGAACATTCGTCTTCCTTCCATATACCAATAAACTCATATATCTTCCTCAGAGGACAGGCTACACCCCTATCTCTTTTAAAGTCTATATTGTCTCAAATAGAATTTGGACTTTAATTTTTTTCACACGAGTAGTGTGCATTAGATTCAGTAAATCTAAAAGTTTAATAAAGTAAATAAATTCAATTTTGATGCAATTAGGTTGAGATGAGGTCAGCTATCTATTCAGGCTGATAACACCAATCTCCGAGGTAGGTAGAATTTTTAGATAAAAGAAGAGATCAGACTGTGACGGCAACCATTATTTACAATAACATCTTTCAAAATCTTTTTTGTTCTCCTTGAAAAGGATTAGCCCTACGAGAACATTTCTGAGACATGCACGATATCATTTTTGTAAAACAACTGATCCGATGACTTCTAGTGTCAAATATCATAAAAAAATAGTATTCATGTCAAATTGGAGAGCTACAAAATCAATTAGGCCTCCACGACCAGGTCGTCTGTTTGGCGAGTCCTAAACGGTGGGGCAAAAATAACTGAAGTATTCTCAAGTGATTCGGGCTTGGTAAAAACGACAAGTAAATAAAAAAGATTTTGTGTATGGCAGTTGAACGAGTAGAGAAAGTTTTGATTGCTGAGCCCACCATGCAAGTCCTGGATGTTTTCAATTTAGAATGCTTAATACCATAATTTAATCAAATGTACAATGGTTCTTTTGTATGTTAAATAAACTGCATGTGTACATTAAACACGATGGTTTATGTACGAGTCGCATATTAACTCGTTAGTATTTTGGGGAGGCATTGTAACGATGCCCTGTCTGTAATAATATATTACCATCCACCCTCAACAAAACTGCATGTTAAACTGGAGCTATTTCAACATTTCACAGCAAAGCAAAGACGTTGTACGGATATATAATAATACTTAACTATACCCCCTTGGACCTTAATTATAAATACATCGTTACTTCTTAGAATATACACAATACTTCAACCTCTCCCCCTCGATAAAGCTGTATATATATTAACATGAAACTATTCCAACGTTTCAACACACTATCAAAAATATCCGGTTGGGCCATCCGCAATTTATTTTAAATATTCTGTAGAATCGGGGACAATGGGCTGTCATTAGTGTGTCCATTACTGCCTAACCAAAGCTAGATAAAGACCTATTGTCAAGTGTAGGGTGAATATAGACCGACATACTCCCTACTCTATACCCAACACGGAAAAAAAACGTCTAAAGGTGGTCTATCACGCACATAGACAATCATATGTTCCATACGCCTTACAAGACAGGGGACAACACAGTCAATTAATACAGACACCTTAGACAGGGGCTCTGTCAACAACCTTCCCAGGCCCGGAGTCCCCAGAGTGTTTGGGACATGGCTGACCCAGGGCCAGACCCGAAATTAACATCACTTTATCCAGATGTCAACAAACTTGTTACACCTACACTTCCCCAGTCAGTGTGCTATTTCAGTTATCATTTATCATAATTTTAAAACATGTACGGTAAACCTGGGTCTTTATCAGCCAACAAGCAGAGTATTTTTATCAGACAACGGCACATATTTATCATTATATCATTATATATACTTGGAAAACTTGAGACACACAACAATCCTTCAACACGTTACACCACCAAATAACAATACAACACTAAAAACCAGATTACCAATAGACAATTAAATTGTGTACTAAACCTCTTTTAAGAATTTAATCATTCAGAACATCGTTAATTACGAGAGAATTATATCAAGATTTCTAATTATCCACACAATACCTGGAAAACCTTATGAGAAATAAATTCTTAGCATTTGATAAATAAATGAATTTTGAACCTAACATTTTTCAGACTTTCTCTCAGAAATAAAACAGATCTCCCTTCGACATTGGTTTTAAAAATTAATATGAACAAAATTTTCTATTCGCTTCACAATCCCCCAAAAGTATCTGGATCTATAAAATTTTGAGACAAATATATACGCTTGTCAAAATTCTCAGGCAAGTTTTAAAAATGGTTCTTTATTCATTTAAACTAATCAAAATGGGGAGGCTTGCTGCGATTTCAGATCTTATTGTTGTCTGTGAATAATGATTCTAATAGTTTTAACCACCAGCAGCAAGTCTCACAAGAGACTACAGGTGAGGCAATATTGAAAAATGAATTAAAAGACAAGTACCAATGTTTAATTTACAAAATACATTTCACGTCAATAATTTTAGTGACGACATTTCCGACTAACTTTTCCCCCCCATGATAATCAAATTTTGGGCTTGCCAGTTTTTGTATGCTTCATCAACTCCCATTTTCTATAATAGCAGCCTGATTTATATCTCCCTTGACGGGTGTTCACATTGCTTTCCGAAATAACATTTTATACCTAGAAACAACTATTTAAAAGCTGAAGTGCGGATTGCTTTGTATATTTGTTATGTGGATATAAATCCCAAATAAATAAAATTCAATAAAATGTTCAAGTAGAATAGATTTCAAGTGGGTAGCTTGACCCGACTGGCTGTCACTTTTACGACTCCTCAATGGTAATAGTGTGTCTGAGGATAGCCCATAAACTAGGATGGTTGGACACCCTTTCTGACTGGCCCCAACTAGAGGGGACAATCAGGGTGTACATTTCAGACCAGTAAACTAGGCCTACTGAGAATAAGGACACCAAATGTACTCTTATTGCCCAATATTATATAGGTCACACTGAAGACCAGTAATTATAGCTCTACTAGGTCAAGTCAAAATTATGGAATATTAACTTGGTTTAGAATGTGTCATCTTGTACATTTCCAATGTGAAATGTTAATTTTATATTATACATTTAGGTCAATAAATTTTTTATCAGAGACAACAATAGTTTATGTCAATTCTGATTTTAACTTTTGGTGTCAACCACAAACTTGTTGGTATTATTTCACCCTGGTAAACTAAACATTTTATGTTTTTATTTGGTAATAAATCTAGTTATGAATTGAATTTGTTGGGTATTACAGGGAGTTGTGTAAATTGCGAGTTTTTGTGTGTGTAAATATGGCATTTTATTGAAGTGTAAAAATATAATATAAAGAGTACTTACTTGGTCGACAACATCGTTTTGATCCGGAGGGTTGTCCGAACTCGATTTGGATGTTGTACTCCCGCCCTCTCTATCATCTATCACTAAATCTATTGGCATTTTTCCTTTTAAACAACTAATATATCTGTGACAGAAATTATCACAAAGTTCGTGGACCTGGAAAACAAAAACAGGATTTTTTTTATTATTTATCAGACAGGCAAAATTGATCCCATCAACATCAAATTCAATCTAAAATTAAAATCTATTAATTCACAAATCTAATCCACGCTATTTTCACACATTTGCCTAAAACTCAATACCGGTACATCATTACAGTGTTAATTTCTTTCCTGGGTCTAGTTTCTGAAATTGCGTTGATGATATTTTAGGGACCGTGTATATATGGGTCTTGATGAGGTCGGAAAATCCTGGTCTGTAATTGTCACTTATCAGGAGATTTCCTAGGGTCAACTTACGAGAGGGCATGATTTGTCCCGCATACCTCTATCATCTAACGCAAACAAAGGAAGGCTGATAAGTGCCGATACACACATGCAATTAAAACCCAAGTCTGCAACAGCTTAAATTTGTTGGAGGTTAAGGGAGTGTCTCATAAGGGCCTCACCAAGAAATTATTACACCTTATATTGAATTATTGACACCATATTAAAAACGTACCTTTTCAAGCTCCAGTAAATGAAATCGAAGAACCTGTATGGCTTGTATCATCTGCGTGTAAAAATAGAAAATGCTTTCATTTAACTTGTTCATAAACAATAAATATAAAGGGGAAAAAAAGAAAAAAGAATTATTTCAGATTTCATGCTTTAAACATTTATACAAAACTTCTAAATGATTCACATCCAATTTTATACTTATTTTCACACCTAAAATACTGTTCTCTTTATCCAGAAATTAGTATATATACAGTAAATGGAACTTGTTGGGATTTTTTTACCAACACATGTGAAAGAAATATTCTACATCCGCTGTTAGAAGGAAATTTATATTCAGAGTGGACTGTATGCGACCGTTTCACATTCCAGGGCGAACTTGGCCGGGGAAAACACAGACCCCTCGGTCATTAGTAGTTTCACAAAACATCTGGCCAATTTTTCAACGAAATTTGCGTGCCTGGCCATGTGCTTTTGGGGACCAGGGATATGATTATTCCTTGTTCCATCCTCAGCCATGCTTCATTAGCTCCGAGTATGCCGTGTTGCTAAAAACTTGGCTCCCAAAATAAATTACACCGGTACTCATAATCTAGGACTGGTTTGCGGGAATACATATACACATTTAACACGAAGTCCTAGTATTTTTTTTCACAGTCGTAATGTTATAAACAATACCAGACGCATTTTAATGAACCGCAACAACCGTAAAAGTTATTTAATAGCGAAGATATTGGAATTAAAATAATTTAATTAAACACAAATAAATAAAACAAAACTTACCACACTGTCCAATTCATGATTTGCTGAGAATAACGGTTTTTCCGACCGTGCCTAGAAATGGGAGAAAATGAAAAATCATTTATTCTCCCGTCTTTCCATTCCAAAGTATTATCCATAAAGAAAATCCCAAGGGATTGACCACATATCCAGAAAAATTTATAAAGCTCAACAAGCATAAAATTTCCAGTTTATTTCTCTCTGGTTAGGCTGTTAGGCCCCAGAGCTAGATATTCCATTTTCTCCATATACATGGTGAACATTCAAAATACATTACTCGTCATTGATGGAAAAATCCTTAGTGCCGCAATGTAGATATAAACACTATTTTTGATAGCATAGCTCAGCTGTTTATGGTAAAAACTCCAAATCCCCGGGAATCAAGCTTGATGTCGTTTTTTAACAAATGGGTGGCATGGTCATAAATTGCATCTTTATTTGTGATTTATAAGGAGTTGTCAGGCTACGGCTACATCAAATGGAAATTAAATAATTTAATCTAATAAAAAATCATTCTGAACTTCATATTTAATTCATTTTAAGGAAATTTTCTTTTTTCTAATAAGCAATAATTAAAATTACACTTCATATATATTTTGAAATCTATTTTTTACACATGTCAATATTTTTTTATCGAATATATATAATTAACAGATATCAAAATATTGAGAAAATATTATATATTTTTAATTCAATATGCATTTTCATAGTTTCAAAATTTCATATGATGTGTAGAATTTATAAATTGACTCCCATTTGAAGAATTTATTTAATATAGCTTAATACTCACTAAAACTTGTTTACTAAAAACTGCTATATCTTCGTTGAATGACTCGGACGAGCAAACGTCCCCTCCTGCAACTCCGGGTTCCCGCGGAGTACATGTTGCTAGTTCACATTTTTCAAATATAAGTGCTAATAGTGGAAACAGTGGGTGTCTGAAACGAGAAAGAAAAAGACCTCAGAATATATATATTGTCAGTGAATATTTTAACGGTGAATAATATTGTCTGTCGTGTTTACAAAGATCCCAAGATTGTCGGCTGGCTATATAGGACCGCCTGGTGTCAAAAGAATCGGACACTGCCGTGGTAAAAATGGGCACAGACCGGGCCGTGTTATAGACAAAGGCAAGGCACTGTCAATATTATAGAAATACACATCACATTTAGTCAATTATAATGTGTCATGTACGCAAGTGGACATGTTGACATATAACATGACAGCGAAGGGTGTTATATTTATACCAGTGTTGTAGCGCGCGAGGAGAAGACACGGATTGCACGTGGTCCCGCGAAATAAACTTTGGCCGGGTCAATAACATACACACACGAACAACAATAATTACGTACCCATAAATTGAATCTTTATCCCGCTTTAACTGGCTATCCTGAGACGAACTGACCCCCGGCATGGAACCACTGGACGTGTAAGGAGGGTACTGATGCATGCCAGGCGTGAGGTTACTCTGGTGAAGGGCCGGGTGGTTGGGTAACGTCCGGTGCGATTCGTACATACCATCCATACCCGCAATTGAGCCAGGGTAATGTGCCGGGATGTCATTTTCGTACTGAAAATAAAATAGACGTGGAAAAAATTACACTCCCATCCATTCCAGAATGATAAAGTAGTTCATCAGTCCATCATAAATCACATCTCAATCCAATATATTCGCACAGCACAATAATAAATAAAATGTAAATAAAAGCTCGGTCTACGGGATATATTATATACGTACTCTCTGAGCCATGGGCCGTGTTCATGTAGCTCCGGCCCTTTCGGCCCCTACAAGATCCCGCTTTGGCCCACTTAGTACTCCCTGTTCCTCCGTGGTACTGTCCCCTTTGGTATAAACAGATCGCTGGCCCTGTCAAAGAGACGGTGAACTGTCAAAGTTGGTAAACGTTTCGGCAGTACAGCGTCAACACTCGCCTAGTTTAGCAACTAAGCTGTCTCTACTCGTGGCTACTACTTCTAAATCTGTCAATCAAAACCTACGTTACAACGGGCCGGTATAATGAACGACCTGTCATAGCATGGCAGCCCCGGGCGAGCTAACTATCGACAGCAGGGGCTTCCAAAGTATGCTACACTGCAAGCAACAAAATATATGTCAAGTTGAAATTACATAAAGGAGAAGAATGGCCCAGTGGAATGGGGACCACCACTTAGTTCAAGTGGAGGGGTCGTAACATATCTATAGTAAATTTATTCCTATGCCAATTTATCTTCGGCTGGTTGGATAGGCCTACAGACGTATATATCCAGATAGTTTAAAAACAACAGTCAAAACATCTTTTTTACAGCGTCGACGCTGACAGCGTTAGCGTGAAAATTCACAAGGTATGTCAAATACAGACTTTTTAGTATATATTTTATATAAGATTTTTAGGTGCATGGTTAAAAGAAAGTATTTAATAGTTTTACTCCACCACAGCTGTATGTTCCGATTCGTGGCCCGTTGCTGAACTCGTCTGATAACATCTAGGATCTGATAAAAACGTTCGGCGCTCCTACCGACCCAAAATATATACAAGCAGAAAAAAGTGTGGTGCTATGATCGGTTAGTTAGTAGGGGCATGTATGTGCTCCCAAACACACGAGTAGGGTTCTAACCTGGTTATTGTAGGGTTGTGTTGTTGAAAAGTCGTCACTGAGAAAATCTCGTGTATATATATAACCCACAGACTTCCACGGCGTCCCGGGACAGCGAAAACTCACACTTGGAAAACCAAAAACGATATATTTTAGAATTACTATTTAACTTTCATTGACAAATATCGTTCACCGATGTTAGCAGTAAATTCACATCCAATATCGGGACAGGGTCGCTGCTCAATCATCGTCAAACGCATGCCGAGACGTTACAAGTAGTTAACACTGCCAAGCATGTCAAAATGGAATCGTCCGAACACGCCCCTAGCTCCGCCCACCAGGAATCGATCAAATTCTCCCTCTAATCATATTAACCCGAGTTTAGCCAATCCGCGGCCGAGCTGTGGTAGCGCCGCGCAAATTCGAGTCGTGAATCACGTTTTTCGTTGACTCGGTAAAGCGATAGTTGCCGCCAGGCGAACTAGATACGTTCCTATGCTCATTTTAAAGCCACAGTTTCTTACCGGATCCTTTAAATATTTGAATAGCTTATAACCCTATTTCGTATACGATACACAAATACTATGTAAACAATCCTTCTGACGGGGTCAGCTGGACATTCGACCGTAAGCCGAAAATCGGAAAAAGTCACGTGTTTATAAAGCCTATTACTGTTTGTTGTGTAAACACCTTTAAACATGGATAACTGTTATATGTTAAATTCAAATTGAAATTTAAACTTATGTTATTTTTTAAACTTATATTTTATTTACAAATTTACAGCATTGTTTTGATTGTAGCACGGCGCCTATGGGCATGTTTTCAATAATGTTATTGAAATATACAGTATTATTAAAAGTATATGTTAAACTTTGTTATTCAATTAAACAAATAATTTCATGTTGATTTTCTAATTGATGAACATGCTTTGCCTGGTCATGAACGAACTGTATATACAGATTTTAATGTATATATATATAGATATAATATATAGCAGTAATGCAGATTCTCATTATTAAATCAACCAAAATAATATTATTTATCAGTTATATATGTAAACAATACATTTTTGATGGCGTAACCAAATTATTGTCACAAAGAGATTTACATGAGACACATATATTGGAATGTTTATAGAATATGTTCAACTCATATTACAATCAATAGGTTGGCCGAAATGAAATAAAAATGAAGACTAGCAAGTCATTTTGTGTTTAGGACACTACATTCAAATAACAAGATTGAATATCTAGTTAGGAGTGTTATTAACAATTTAATACAATGTGCTTTTAGTATACCGAGTTGTCACCTGAAAAACCCGATGTCTGGAGAGGCGGGGGACCAACGGTAATTGAAAATTGGTTAAAAGATGATACCAATTTTATCTGTATCGCACACTCAGTGCGCGGAAAGTGCTATACAGTTGTAGGACCCGCTGGATTAATTTACCGGGACATTTTTTCCGGATTCAGAAGAACTGGAACGGATGGATAAATACACTTCTCCATATCGGAAAATTATTCGGAGAGTATAATCAGGGACCCAGCCGTCTACGGCGTACTCCGATACTTCCTAATGTCATCAAAAAACATCTATAAAAATGAAAATATCAATTTATTGATAGCATCTTATTTAATTATAAATTCATCAAGATTTACACTGGCATCAATATTGTATATTAAATATAATTCTATTTCTTACAGAAATTGGCTGATAATATCGTTTTATTCCCTACTTAAAAATGGTTGTTACATTCAGTGATTTTATTATTTTAGCTTATTTTAAAAAGACTTTAAGCACCGTATTGGTATATACTTCAACAAATTTTTGAAATAAATTAACAAAAGTGCACCACCTAAAGAGTGGAAACAAGAGTACGGATTATCTATTTCCTTAAGGGTTGACTTTTACAATCAAAATGATAATATTAATAAAGATTATTCCAAACAGACCGCATTGATAATGGACCAATCATCACTTCAAACAAAAGATGATGACTTCGGCTTGCTAACAAGCTAGACAAAATTACAGAAAAATAAGAAGAAACCAGTCCTTTGATTTATATTTCTGGGCCTGTTCTACTAGCTTTTGTTACGCGGATTGTTCTTTGATATCAAATCCATGTTTTAGTTACCGAGAAATAATCTTACATATTTCATTAAATCAGCCTCCCAAACTAAACGCACGATAATAAAACCAATGCGCAAGAGTCACCGTATAAATTTGATTTATTTAGTAATTTTTTCATCTCTTGATAAATCGTGAATTTTGTGTCTCATTTTCCCCATTAGCGATAGTATCGCATTATGTTAATTATATCCAGCTAGAATTTGTTGTCGTAATAAATTACGGTAAAAAACACGTGTCGGGGGGGGGGTTACAAAGTAATCGTCTAAAAATATTTGGGGACAAACAAAATCAACCCAGGTAAAAATTAGAAAAATAAGTGAAAACATCATATATGAAATCGACTTTGATTTAAATTAAGTGAAGGTCGTTATTGAAACATTCTTGCATTGTGGTGGTACGTATTGTATGAATTTGTATCGTACAAAGACTTTTATTAAATCGCGATCCCGCTTTCGGCGTCGTTGTGTCGGCTCGCCGTAATGGTTCCACAGATGAAAATACGATGTATAGGTTTCTATCTGCGAAACTCATCTCGTCAAGTCCGACGTCCCGTTCAGCCAACACCGACTATCAACTCTAAATTACTTACATATGTAGAAACTGATAGTTTTGACGGCTTATCCAGGTTTTTCTATATTACATATTTTGTAAAAGGGAACTTGCTATACCCTACTTGAGTGTAGAATTCCCGATATCGGCGTATAATACTATGCTATGAACTGACCCTTGAAAACGGCGAGCTGCCATCGATAGATCAGAATTCCACAGGCCGTGACTGAAGTGTCAATAATTCACTCCGGATAACTTTACACAATAAATACCCACGACAGCGTGAAAAAATACCCGGTATTATCTCAATCTATTACATTTTGGTTTAAAATACATTTATTTTGAAGAAAAAAGACTAGAGGGGAAAAAAGATCGTATGTACAAGATCGATAATTTAAAAATAATATAATATCGATAAAGTACTTAATGTTATTAAGTTTTCTAACTTATCATTTTTTGTCAAATCCTTTTGATTGAATATATGTTTTATTAATTAGAAATATTTGATTTAGATAAAAACTGACGTACATCGTATTTAAAAATAAATTATATATACAGAAAATTGATTTCTTTGATTTAATGCTGTTACTGCTTACAGTTGAAAGTCTGGAAATGCGATGACAAAGATAATAATGATGATGATGAAGATACAAATAAAATAAAATTATCAATAGCTTTGTCATCCTATAAGTCTGCTGAGAATTTTTATCCTATTTCCCCCTGAAATCCCGTCAGATTTAATGGCGCAAGACCTTCGTTTTAACATGTGAACAGGGAGAGCGAAATTCGCGATAAAATAACCAAGTGTATACAATCCGACGGAATTAAACGTTCGGAGAGACATACTTTTGACCCGATATTTCGGAAATCGGTGGTAAATGCTATTAATTCTAGCCCGGGAGAATTACTAGACTGAGCAGATTATGACGATAATTCCACTAAAATTTCCTAAAACACCAATATTGTCATTGGCACCGGCTCAGAGACTTATCTTCCGTTGGTGTTTACCCCCTTTTTGATCATTGAACAAAAGTCTCCGAGGATTTGAATGCGGTACAGAGCGTTCTGTCTTATCACACCATACAGCGGTCGGTTGCAAAAAAGTTAAAATCCGCACAACACATTTTCTGTCGTTGACCATAAACCCGCCCTACCGCCAAGGTATGGCTCCCTGATTCTATCTATCAAGTCTGCTCAGTCGAAATGTAGGGACTGTCATTATATTCCTATTAAATGAAGCACTCGGAATTGATTTGTAATATAAAAAAAAACTCCGTAAGACAAGGCCCAGGCTGTACACAGTGCTAACGGGATCGCCATTTCTGTCCGTCCCGTTAAATGTTTCTCCCGGTCAGTAAATAGCCGCCTGCCTATGTTTTGGACGGTGTGTAAAGCATGTTTATCTAGCTAAATTACAAACATAGCTAATAAATACATGTATCTTCATCAATAGCTGATCTACCGTGCTGGTACAGCGTCGCTAATTAAAGAAATAAACATGTGATGTACATATGAAAACAATTACACATATATACACATTTATCTTAGTAACAGAAAGAATGAATTATCTATAAACAAAGTGATAAATATTCAAAAGTTGACACCGGCCGTGAAGGAACATGCACGTTGTCACATATATCAACGGTATATACTTTATATACCTTTCCGTCACAAAACTCACCCTTCCAAAATATTCCGCAGGAATTTAAGAATACTTTGACGTATATACTTCCTTGAGACAAAAACTTTTGAAGTATTGTACTCCCAAAATTAATCCAACACTTCCAGAAATTTGTAAGAATTATTAAAATCCACGGAATTCTATGAATAATAAATATACACGAGTACTGAATGAGGTGTGTAAACTCCGGGAGATTTGTAAACAAAGCACCACGGTACACGGACGGGTCTCGCTCACTATCCGTCAAAACGTCAAACTAGGGGAAACGTGTTACCCACTCGCTCTCTGCTTTCTACCTGACAGCCGAGAAGATAAGTTCTGAAATGCTCGGTCTCTCTGACCGTTTCGCCTGGTACAGGGTCGTGGGGCCTAGAGAAAGTGACACTCCCATTACTTCTCAGCCAGCCACTCAACCGCATCCATGTGACCCCGGGGTCACCGATTAGTCAAAGGTCAAGGCTGAAGTTGATGATACCCCCATCTTAAACCAATTTTACCTGTGATTCAATTATATTGGCCAATTATAACCAAAAAAATATCATATCCCCAGGTCCTGGCATAAAAGTCTATCATTTTCAGTGCCCAGCTCTCTCCCAAGTATGTAACCCTTGTAGCTTCAATCTTCTTTATTATGTGGGTATAAAGGTAATTATTTTGAAATATTTGAAAAAGAAAAGAAATACTTTTCTCTGAAATAAATTATATACCAATATGTATTACAAACTAAAATGATAGGCGGTAATAACTTCTATTATAACCTTTCAAGGGCTTCATTTTTTTCATTCTGCATGCATTTTCCTGTAAATATTGTAAGACATGCAGGAAGGGGTCAGATGAAAAAATATTATAACTTTATTTCTTTCTTTCTGGAAATTCTCTCAAAGTTTTCAGTACACCAATAAACAAAACACAGAGTTGAGCTTTTATTTCAACACTAGCGGAAAGTAGTACAATTAATTTGTACAATATACTAAGAAGCTTATCAATATACACACATTCAATATAGTATTAACTGGTTTATAATTAAATCTGTTATATTATCAAATATAAAAAATATATCTCTTTTCTGAAAAAAAACCCAATATAAATTACAAGAAATTATTTTTTGTCCAAACTCTTAATTTTGAACAAGCCATTTTTACTATACATACATATTACAAGTGTCCTTGCATTGGAAACACAGAAATAAAGGCATTTATATATTTTTTACAATAACACCTGTCAGATTTGTGTAAGCACATAGTTTATGAATTGTCTAGTATTTATCAGATTAAGTTGTGTCTAATTCCTTCCGACGCCATATATGGTATAAAAGTTCAGCCTCTGTAGTCTCTCACCTGTACACGTGCGATGCAGCAGGTATTTGAATCAATTCAAATGACATAAAACGATTTGTCAACACTTAGCGGAGAAATTATTTTGTGAAACTTTATATGTGAATCGACATGACATTCCACATATTTGTTATTATAAAATAGGTATATTCTTTTCGGTTTCTCTCTCGGTATTTGGCAACGAAGACAGTTTTTCGCATCAGTATTGCTCAGTTTTTATTTTATTTGACAAAGTACGAAACAAAACGTCTAAAGACATAGTATTTGTGTGCGCGGGAGATTAAGGACCGGGCTTGGTCTGATTTGACATGTGACCCAGTCAGTTAGTTGTTATCTACATAAAACCGCCACCAACCGTCACTACCTTTTCTCTTCTCGTTCTACAATTCCGGACACTTTGATCCGTCATCTGACCACGCCTACTGCATTTAGACACGACTTGGACTGCCCTGACTCATTACATATTCAAAACTACGTCACCTATTTAGCACGTGCTAGTGTTGTTGTTTTCAACTCGACGGACGAGACGGGTTACGCATTTTCCAATAAATTACAAAATACGCGGATATATTTCTTTCCTGAAGTTAAAAATCAAACGTTAGAATTTTAAAGTTATGACCATTTCAGTTTGAAAAACTATAACGGTACCCGACTTTGTTATGTCTATTATCGCGAATATCAAAAGTATAATGCGAATGTCTATATTATTATTCTTATTTTCTGATGTCCCTTTCAGTTATGCACACATAAAACGATATTTTATTATGTTCATATCTTATCCTTAATCAAACGTATTTGGCACATCAATATGAAATAATGAGCATGAAACATGGTTCTTATTTCCTTACCTTTTAAAATGATATATACTCACAGTAACACTTATTTTATTGCATATTCCGGAAATATGATTAAACGATTTCAGATATTATAATATATGTCAATCGCTTTCTAAAGTGCTTGGAATATTTTCATCTTTTGAAATACTTTCAGTAATTTTATGAGACTTAAACTGAAATATTCTCACAATAACACAGTACCCCTGTATGTCGAAATCACTGTATATTCTCGAGTTAGCAATATGCACACTGCTATTACTACTTCGAAATTTTAAAAAAACACCTCTACATTTATTGAGAATAACTTGAAAGCTGAGAATAGAATGACAACAATATGTTGAAAGGGGGGAAAAAACAGGAACTAAATCTTGGAGCTCCATATTTCTTATTTCCAGAGATAAAATCGGAATATTTGGCTGTTTTGTTTATGTCCTTAAATACTCATAGTAACTATTTCAGATATGTCCATATGCTTTTTAAGTTACATTTGCATAAATCATAAATTTCACAGAGCCCAAAAATGTTTATTTTGAATTTTATACAGGTATTTACTTGAATTACATATTGGATTTGAGTTATAAATTTAAATATAAATTCACGGTCAAAACAGTACGCACCAGAGAAATCGAATTCCTCTATACTGTAGGTTGGTTTTGAATACAACTTTTCATGTTACTTTGCATCTATCGTCAAATTTAACTAATATATAATACTAAAAGCATGAAGAAGCATGGACATTTTTGGGGTGTTTTTGTCTGTTGAATTGAAGGAGAAAATACATATTTTTGTGTTGATTCATATTTCAACTTGCAATAAATTCAAAGAATTAAAATAGTGTTTTTCTTAAAGATTATTTTGTTGGAATCAATTTCATTTGTAGCTTTTTCCTCATCCAAGCTGCCTGACCGTCTTTAATGAATGTTAAAAGCTGGTAGTATTTGTAATATTTAATGTTGATGATGTAACTGGCACTTTACAGAAGTTGAAGTACACTAGGTATAATGATACTGAGGGTATACAGCTATAATTATCCCTCTGCTTATATCACCATGTTATCTGACATCACAAACGAAATGTACATTGAAATCGACATTCGATATTAATGGATTTTGATAACTTATTCATTTCATGTGTATATCCACAGAATTGGATGATCTAAGTCGGTGATATAATCACACACACACAAACACAAATAGCTGTTATAAACAGTCTCAAAACTAATCTCGCTTTTTGCAAATTTTGTTGTTCGCCCTGATATTTTTTTCTAAAAGAATTCATTAATTTTTGTCATATATTTTTCTGAAAAATCAACAAATTTTCATTATTGATTTTTCTTTAATTATACAGCTGACATGCTATGACTATTTACTTACAATGATACCTACATAATATTCATGTGTTGATGTATACTGTGTGATATATAATATGCTTCTTAGTAAACCAAGCTATACTTGTTATGTCTTTGTTTCTGTGGAGAATCAATATGGTCTTGTTAACAATGTTCCGTGTCTGATATTTTACCGATAAAATCTAGTAAACAATCGTTATTCCTGAACATTAAAATCATGAAGCATTAGGGATTTATACAGGTATATTGTTACAGGTAAATTTTATAACAAATTAAGAACACTTTGATATTCTCTACTTCTCCTTCAAGGATATATTTTAGTGGGAAAACAGTAAACACAGAATGGTTAGGAGCCCTGCATTGTTACGAACTGTACGCGGTGAGAAATGTGCATATTTTCTATACACACTGTAAAATTTATTGTTAAAAGATGTTGTTTATACATTCAAAGGACTCATAAATCAGAATTAAAATTCTCAAATAAAATTAAGTTGAATTTTAAACAAGAGATGATATCGATTCTCAGTATTTCTAATTCCTTTTACATTCTCGGGGGGGGAAGCAAAAAATATGAATTATCATAATAATAGTATTAAGTTGTTTGTATAATTTATTTCTTGATTGTTTACAACCCAACTATCAAAATTACAACAGAATAATATCGCTATTTATGATTTCAATAATTCGTCAGAAGTGCTATTCGGTGAGCTAAACATATATTTTTTTCTTTGGTTGATAAATGATTTTGCATAATAAAACTTGAAAATATTTTTTTTTTATTATTTGCTGGTGTTCAACAACCCCATAAAACAGGATATGAAATTTAAATAAAACACTTAATTGAATTGGTATTCATAAACAGCATATCCTTGTCAGTTTTATAATCCTCTTTTAATATTAGGTTATAAAATCCACAAAAGCTTTGTTTTATATTTTAAGACCGGTATTTTGGTAGTTCAATAAATACAAATCTGATGCTGTTTTCATGATGTTCGTATTAACGACTAGTTCATGTAAGTGATAAATACATGCATAACTAAATTCACTCTCAAATCAGTTTTGAATGTGTGCGGTAAATGATTATTATATCCATGGAATCAAATATCTTGGCGTTTCTAAAATTATTTCATCTTGTCCTATGGGGTAAGGCTTCTTCATACGATTGTCCCCCGGGGGACAGTGAACGGATACGGACAATAATCTCTATTAAACCAATATAACATTTAATTGCTACAGATGTTATCATCAACATGTATAATGATTTATCCGAGGACAGTATCATGGGGCGTGGTAGCTTGTGCCTTACCCTCGGGCTGCTGTGTCAAAATATCATTGTGTGGAGCAGGGTGGTGAGAGCTGTACCCCCGGGCTGTTGTGTCAAATCGTATTGTGTGGGGTGGGTGGCGAGAGCCCTGCTCCCCGGGGCCGTTGTGTCAAGTCGTTAGAATGTATTATTTTTATTTTGTCCCGGGTAGATCTTTCCCTAAATCTTGTGTTACGTCGATGATACTCCAATAGTTACTGTCAAACTGACAGCCCATTCATCAAGGTCCCGTCCACCCCCTATACCCTCCATCATGACGTCCGAACCCAACACTTAGGCCAGATCGATCAGCCGGGGCTCAAAAGATCGATACAAACCAGAACCGTCCGACAGGTATCTGTTAGTGTAAAGGTTCGAGGTTATGGAACATCCCAGTCTTAAACGGTTCTATTACAGAGTGTCACCTGTATTTTTGTTCTGTGTAACTTTGCTTACCATGTATAGGTATAAATTTGCTTACAACGTATAGGTATAATTAGGTATAAT